ATCCTTTCCAACCAAAAAAAAAGGTCTCGCGCAGGTAGCTCCCTTTCCTTATGAGCCGTCCCCACCAACTTTCAACACAAAGTTACACCCTTGCTCTTGCCCAATGATTGCTGGAGACAGGCACCAGCACCCCTCAAGACCCCACTCGGGATAAGTGTGTTAGAAAATGGATGGATGGATTCTTGTACTGATTGGTAAATAAATTTATTTGGATAACATTTAGAGAGATGTTTGTATGTTTTTGTTTTTTTTTCTATGAAAATTTTGCAATTTAACCCATTTTCAGAGCACAATTTGTTGCAAATTAGTGTTTTATTCCTACAATGAATTTGTTTTTATGTTAAGGAGCAACACACAGCTTGACAGTTATACGTCTGGGAATATATAATTTGGAATGAACAATGCAAGTAGTGTAGGAAAGTTATTTGAAAATAAGATAAATAGTTTTGAAGAGTGTGACTTTTGCAGAAGAAGAGCACCAGGCCAGGTAATATAGATAACAACAGTATGAAGTTAGAATAAATAGCATTAACATCTGCTGAGATGTCCTAAAGGCTCTTTTAAGAAACCCAGTTAAGGGATTAAGAAGTGATTCTCTGGTTATCTTGGTTAGCTCTCACCATTCGTTTTGCATGTGATAACAATGAAATGGCCTTATAAACAGTTATCAGTCCTATTGAATGGCTTCAAATTGTGTCTCCTCTACCTTCTATCAGATTTTTTATGGCTACTAATATCCAGCATATCATTGATAACAGCCACAGTGACCATGTCTAAAACCATGTAATTATAATTTACCTACTTTATACTTTTAATCTACTTTTTACACAGTATACCTTTAAAAGAAACTGCATTTTGAGGCTTTACTTCAAATTAGTTCCACATGTTTCAGTCATACTGATTTAATGTGGTGTTTAACAACAACTCAGTTGACAGGAAATTAGATTGCTTGTTTTTGGTTTGTTGAACTAGTAAAGAGGTGCTCAGATTACACATAGATTAACTGATTCCTGTCCAAAAATTAATTACACCAGGGCTTGGATTCATTGGGTTGATAATAATCTACTGAACCTATGTGGCTGCAGGATCATATCTAGGAATGACAGAGACTTAAAGAAGACCGGAAAACTCAAGAGAAATGATTTGGCCATGCTTGTGAACAACTGATGGTGTCATCCAGGACGTGTTATTGTGAAGATTCATCACTGCAGCCCCAATATTGAACTGCGGCAGTTGGTTTTTGGCCAAATTTTGTCATAAAGCAGTAACGTAGGAGCCAGAATTAAGGCGAGACAGACAGTGGGATAATTCAAAGCATTTTATTAAAATAAACAAGTGGATGTGCAGTGTCCCTCAATACTGCAGCCCCAGAGAACAAGCAGGAATTCAAGACAGTAAGAGGTGACTATAAAATTAAACAGACACAAAGGGAAAGTAGAGTCCACAGATATGTAACTAACTCACTGCTTTGTCATTCAATAACCAAAAGAGATGTGATTATGAAATCTGGTATTGTTAAAAAAAAAACTTTATAACTGGTGTGTAGACAATTCATATGCTTAGAGGGAATAGGAAGTGGTTTAGAATGAGGCAGAATGGCAGAGCATATAAGGCATGTTTAGCTTCAGTGATGAATGTTGGCCTTCAAAGGTCCCTACATGGTAAAGTACTGTTCCATTGGCCAGGAAGATGAGTTCCTTATTTTCTGTACAGATTAAAAGGGTTTTAAGTTTTTGCTTTCTTGGGCATCTTGCATTAACTCGCAGATCTGCACTCCGACGCTACCAGAAGATAAGCAGGGGGCTGGGCCACCCAAGCCTCCCCACCATCCCAGCCTAACAATATCAGAGAAGAAAACCCAGAAGAAGGAAGATGGACAATCAGACCTCCGACATGGGGAAGGTGTCCGGCCAGGGGACGAAAATATTATTTATAGGGAAGAAGGATAGGAAAGATTCACTATTTTAGAAATTAAAAAGGTTTTGTCCCACTAGCGGACAAAGATGAAGGGCTTTTTGGTATCAGGGATAGAACAGGAATACACCAGGAGAATAATATTTAGGGACATGATAGGCATCCCTAGAGCTTATGGAAGAGAAATCAAGACAGACCAGACTGGGATGATGCTCTGAAGATGCGGAAGAAGTGCTCACTCACAGTTTCTGCCAGTAACAGTTAATTGCTGCTTTGGGCTTGGCAGAATGGAGTATGTGAAAATTTTCCATGATGTTTCTTACAGCACAAAGGAAAAGCCAGCCTGAATGCTTGAGGATTTATGGTTTCAAAGGCCTTTCAGGCGGATACTTCATGAAAGTGGAATACCTTCCCAGTCTACAAGAGAGCTCACCAATCTCTGGACTCTTTAAAACAAAAAACCTAAAAAAAATTGTATTAATAAAAGCCTACCAATTAGGATTTGAATGTAGTTTATTGTTGTTCCACTGCATGTCTTCCATTGAAATCATTCTTGACACTGTGTGTGCTCTTATCTGTAGTAACCCTTCCTATGTAGAACTGGTCACCTGTCTGTTGCATTATAATTATTATTATTACTATATAAATCTTGTATTTTGAGCAAATGCATTAAAGAATAAGCAACTTCTACCACTATTGGTTCTCAAATGTATATGTTGATATGAAAAATGGCACCAGATGTATCCTGGTCTTTATTATTTTATTGTTTCCAGATAACTAAAATTGATATTAGCTTTTGCTCATTAAATATTTTTTGGTGTTCTTTTCTGGCTTAAACAAAATAATAAAACACTTTGGAGCAAATATAAAAAGCATCAGTCCAAAACTGGAGGCCAGAATGGCAAATATCTCCACTGCCACTGTAAATTTTCCTGGAGAGCTGATATATGCTGGGATGAAGGTGATCCAGACGGCACAGAATATCAACATGCTGAAGGTGATCATCTTTGCTTCATTGAAATTATCAGGTAGTTTCCGAGCTAGAACAGCCAATATAAAGCAAAAAACAGCAAGCAGACCAATGTAGCCAAGGACAGCCCAGAAACCAACAGAAGAGCCCAATGCACATTCCAGTAGGATCTTCTCCTTATATGTAGTTAGATTTTTCTTTGGAAAAGGTGGGCTTACAACCAACCACAATGTACATATTATAACCTGAATAAATGTAAAAGACACTACAGTCATTCTTTGTTGTGGAGGACCAAACCATTTCATTACATTGTTTCCTGGAAGTGTTGCTTTAAAGGCCATTAAAACAACTATGGTTTTTCCAAGAACGCAGGAGATACAGAGAACAAAGGTGATGCCAAACGCTGTGTGCCGCAGCATGCAGGACCATTCAGAAGGTGCTCCAATGAAAGTTAATGAACATAAGAAGCACAGGGTCAGAGAGAAGAGCAGTAGGAAGCTCAGCTCAGAGTTGTTAGCTCTGACAATTGGAGTTGTCCTGTGATGAAAGAAAACTGCTGCTGTTATGATGGCCAAACAGGCTCCACTAACAGAGAATGCAGCCAGGATGATTGAAAGGACTTCATCAAAGGAAAGAAACTCCACACGTTTGGGAAAACAAGCATCTTTCTTTGCATTTGGCCAGAATTCTCTGGGGCATGGGTAGCAATTAGGAGAATCTAAAATATCAATCATAAACATTAGTGACCTTATTCATGTTTGGGTATGTAAAGTTATATTAAAACATGTTTAATATTACCTGTCACATTGTTCATCTCTCCTGTAGGACACTGTATACAATCATAGCAGCAGATGGGTTTTCCTTTCCGCAACACCTTACGGGTTCCTGGAGAACAACTGTCAGAGCAAACCGACACTGGCACCTGTATCAAATATTTAATCAAATTCAAAAAACAAAAGAATTTTATATTTTAACTTAAACAAATAATGGAGCAATAAAGCTTATTTATTATTTCTCTATAGTCTCATTACTTGAGTGCTACCCTCCAACCAGGTTATGTTCCGGTTGATATGGAACTGCTGACCCACTGGCAGTGATGCATCATAGTATCCTACTTTTATCAGTTCAGTAACTCCACTGGCATGCCTTTGCCAATTGACCAGTTCATAAAAAGCCACAGGATCACCATTATCATCAAATGACACATGGTAACTATTTCTTGTAAAATTGACATTTTTCAACCCTGACAAAACCTGCAAAGAAAAAAGAATAGAAAAATACTGTGTAAAATAAAAAATAAATAAACTGACAGAAGTTGTGTGGAAAATAGAATGCCAAATAATAGTTGGTCAATTCCTCTTTAAACAGACCTGGCTTGACTCCAGTTTTGTATGTTTATTACACTGTATAGTTTTATTCGTTTCCAGGCAAACAACATTGTGAATAGCATGGGCTATTGCATAAACAGCCTTGTATGCCATATTGGTAATTCTTAACTGAGATGTTTCAGTATACGGGCTCAAGAGTGTTTTAATGTCTTCAGTTCCATCACAGGTCCTTTCGTCTGGATTAGAACCTAGACATATGGAAAGATAAACCCCCATCTTATGGGTAATAAATGGAGCAAACGTTCTGTAGGTTTCATTTAAGTTTGCATGGAGTTTATTCTAAAATAAAAAATGCCAGTAATGTTAAAACATGGCTCTAACAGCAATTATTTCAATACATATGAGAAAATTGGATAATTCTTAATACTAATAATAAAAAAACATTCAATTACTCTTGAAACTGTAATTAGAGTACTTTTTCTTTTAAAAATATGTTGACTATGTTTAATCAGAACTTTAGAAAAAAAAATCCCCTGTGGATATACTGTTTTGCCTTTAATATTTGCTTTTAAATAGAGTTTGACAAAATTGTCTCACTTTTCAGCTTGCAGTCAAATGCTTCCTCCCAGAACTTTGTTAACACTGAGGAGGAAGCCACCTTTGAGAGAGAGAGATTTAGAAGGAATTCTCTCAGACCTGGAATGACGGATTGTTGAATGGCAACTCCGATAGCCCCTGCACAAAAACTGAAGCTCATCAGGTGTGGGTCAGTAATCCAGGCTTCACTTCCAATCCACTGACGCGATGGAGGACGGTCTTTAGCCATCTCCTCTAAGAGGAACTTCATGTCCCCAGGAGCTGCAAATGCCACGACTACTGTTGATGTTGACCTGAAGAGAAATTATTATAGTGCTTTAAACCCACATATGCTCTTTACCTGCATTACTAAATAAAATCAGTTGTCTTTCACAGATTAGTCATTCACTTTCTTGATACACATTGGTACAAGGTACACATGCACGAGATAAAGAAACCTCCGGATAATATCAGCAATTCTCTGGATCTTGTTGCGTGAGTCAGTCCGATAGAACGATTCCGAGTATTCCACACAGATCCCCTCTCTGAGTGCTGCCTTCAAAAAGGCTGCCATGCCATTATTTCCATAATCTGAGTTTGACCGGATGGCCCCTATCCAAGTCCAACCAAAGTGTTTCACCAGCTTGGCCAGTGCGTCAGCTTGGTACTGGTCACTGGGAATTGTTCTGAAAAAAGTTGGATACTGCTTCTTATCCGAGAGGCAGGCACAAGTGGCATAGTGGCTCACCTAAAGAAAGGTATATAAAATGAAGCTCATAAACATCATTAAAACCAGCAGGAGTATATTTCACTTGGCAGAAAGATATTTAAAACTAAGCACCTGTGGAATGTTAAAGGATCCAATAACCCGTGACATGCTGATTGACGGGGTGGATCCAGATTCACCAATGACAGCAATCACCACGCCGGATTGAGAGCAGTCGTGTCTTGTGTAATATACAGGGTCGTAGCCATTTGACAGCTGAAATGCTACATGCATGGTCATAGGCACAGAAGCACATGAGTCATGAATCTGATATCCCAGTTTGACACTTGGCAGCAGCTCTGTGCTGTTATTTATTTCTTCAATGGCAAAGACCATTGCACGAGAAAAGCGCAGTTCACGTGGGTCTATTCTGCACATAGAAAGCACATAGGGTGTCTAATTTACACGTTTAAAAAAAACAAAGGGACTTGACATGTCACAAATATATCTAAGATGCAAATGGATATGTTACACATATCAGTGTAAGATAAAAACAAGTTTTTATTCAAAGCTAGCTTTTAGGTTTTCTTTATTAAAAACACTTAAACACTGTTTAAAAGGATAAAATATAACTGAATATGAGCATTGAGAAATAGATCATGCATTGTTACACCTTTTAAACAAGTTTTCATAGCCTATATCAACATTTTAAAAAAATCAGCATTTTTAATTTCCACCTCTTCTTAGTTACTAACCTCCCCGTGCACCTTGGAGCCTCAGGAGCGGTGGTGTAGTCATTATTTACCATGTGCATGTTGGCATGAATGGAGAAAACACCTCCAATAATGTAGTCCCCCTCCATTGAGAAGGAAGGCAAAAGAGGGGTACCCTGCAGGCTACATTTTAAAGAAGTCTCAATATAAGCATTGTCAGTGTTGCCAGCCTCTGTGAGAGTACCGGTAGTAGAAGTTTTCTGACTGTAAGCAGATCCCCCCAAAGCCACTAATGTGCTATTCAGACACAGAGCCAATGTCAGGCTAATAAGCAAAGCTACGATCCCCATCTCTCATGTGCATTCAAAAGTGGTTTGTATTTCTTATATAGCTATTTTTTTTCTGCCAGAGGAGGGGACTGTAAAGAATTCAGTAGCACAGCAACCTGATATTAACTGTTTTGATTGGATGATCTTCATATATTTATTTTTTTCAGCAGTGTCTATTTTTGTTTTTTGTTTTTTTCTCTTTTGTTCTTTTCCCTTCTATCTTTTTTTTAGCTTCACTAAAACACTTGAAATACAGTAGGCCAAATTTCTTATGACTTAAAAATCCCATGCAGTTTCAAAGAAAATTACAATATATATATTTTTTTTACAGTATTTGGTTACATGCATGTTAATTTAGCAAACTTTAAGGAGACCCCTGTCTTTTTACCCAAATTTAAAATCAATAAAATATTTACAGAGGAGCTGGTACCAATCTAAATGGTGTGTGAAAAGGAGGGTACTGCTTGAACTAGCTCCAAGTCCTGCACTATAGGCAACACTAGATGGAAGCCAGTAGTTCTGGCCAAGATTCAACTGTATGCTTACACCTCAAAAAAAAAAAAAAAACACCTATGAAGAAAGAAACATTCAGATTTTGGACTTGGGATTATTGTGGTTTGAGCTTCCAAGCATTTACAATTCAGTTCTAGAACTCTTTCCAAATCAATGAGATAAACATACTAATCATTATTCAAACACTGTAACACTTAGACCATGCATAACAAAAGACCCCAACAACCACAGGCGTAACTTTCTGAAGGACTGATGTGGACATGTCCACACCAACTTTAGCCTGCTGGGGACAGTCCCCACCAATACTTTGAACACTTTTTTTTTTTACAGTATTTACAGGTAGGTTCATATTTCTTTGCAGTATTGATTAAATGTTTTGTTATTCTTTACTTATATATATATAAAAAGCTCAGCTCTTCAGAGGACCATGACTACCAGTTTTTGGTAAAAATTAACTCATATTTGTTGTTTCTTGCTGAACTTAAACTTACCAGTCTGCTGAGGTTTTAGATATCTCCTGCTGAGGAAACTTAAAGGGAAAACAGAGGAGTGTATGGGGTGCTTTTGTCTGCATTTGGGTCCTGTCAAACCATGGACTCTGCCTCTAGAGACTTTGCTTGGCCTTCCCGAACTTTGGTGGGTTGTTTTGTGTTTGGACTCTGTTTTTGTTTTTTGTTTATTGCTCTCCTTCCTGGTTACCACTCCACCCACCCTGGGTGGGTTGTTTTTGTTTTTGGACTTTTTAGGGCATCTGGAATCTGCCCTTAAGTGGGGGGTCATGGTTTTGTTCAAGTTTTATTTTGAGTTTTCATTGGTCTT